TTCCAGGAAACCCACGTAGATAGGTTACCATTTTCACTTACTACAAAAACTTGAACGCCAAACAGTAATCGATTATCGCTCAGTTTGGGATCACGTGATCCTTCAGAATTAGAACTTTTGTCTGATGGGTTGTTCTCTACGTGGAACAAAGTTCCAGCCGAAACATTTTCGGCGAAGTTTCTAAAAATTCCGCGTAGCCGGTACATCGTTTCCCTAGCTAGGCGGAACTTTGCTTCCAGCGAAGCAATTATTTCTAGGAATCCTTCCGTTTAAACCAGTACTACCAGAATCTAGTTTCTCAGAATAGTCCCGTCTAACAGGCACCGTGACTAGATGTGATAACAGTTTTAGGAAACAAAACTATGTACTTTGTCAAGTATTCGATCATCCTTTTACTCCCCTCCCGTGGGAAGTCGACGTAGAGAACTCTGCTAAGATACTCGCTAGGATCTTTACCAGAGCAGTCTCCTCCACGGGGGTAGACAAATTACGATTAATGAGGGGAGGGAGGGACCAAAGGTAATAAAGTGAAATGTTAAGTTTGAGAATACAGAAATAATCCTAATGTATAGAAATCAATGCGAGCAAAAGCAAAATCTGAATGGGTTTTAAACAATTAATTACAAAGAAATTTATATTACTTATAAAGGAAACTTTAATTTAATTAGAATAAATTAAAAACGTAGGAATTTATATTTTTATTGACATTTAACTACTAATACGTCAACACTATCACAAAGATAAATTATAAAACCACTTTATCCGTTTACTGAACAGGTGAACCTTCCGCAAAATATTGATCAGATATACATTGTACGACCAAAAATAAGACAGTTTCTTTTCATTTGCTATATAAGAGCATTTGATCCCGAGGAATTCTTGTCACTTCAGACAGGATAAAAACATCAAAGTGAGAAATAATGTATTATCCTGCAAAATCCTTGGAAATCCTCTATCAAAGTTCTTGTGTCTTTTTAAAAATCATATGCGAAGGGACAAGACCTTCCAGTACCATTAGAAATACATTCACTTGTCACATAGCTGCGATTTTATTTTTAATTTCAAGTAAAAAGATTTAAAAAAATATTTTTACAGCTTAATACGTTATAGTATCTGGTACGTATTCCGAATACTTTAAATTTGAACATTTTCTCAAATGTGCTCAAGATTATGAATGTGTAAAATAGTGAAAAACTGAAGAGGTTCTCACTAGAGTTTTCGCTGTTTGTTATTAATATGCTTAGAAATACAAGTAGTTATATGAAAACAAAAACAAAAATGCAAAATTGTTATTACGTTATCTAAAGTTTTAAAGAAATTTTTAAGTGAGCTTTCATTTAAGATTTGATTACACTTAATTCTTAAAAAAAATAGGAAATAATTTTAATTTAACTGATATTTTGAATGGAAATTTTTAAGTTAAAAAATAATCTAGCGGATTTATTTTTATTGATGAGCATGCTATCGTATTCCATAACGTGGAAGCAAATAGCATAACTAATAAATATTATTTCTAAATTATTTTTTTCCTTTATCATTTCTAATGTCAGAAATGTCTCTAACAATTTTCTCCTCATTTACGTTAGACTACTACTACTACGACATTCACCATTCCACTAAGACTGGCAGATTTCTATTCTAGCTTATGAATTGTTACAAATATATAAAATTCCAGTATTGAAATATTAGCAGCATTTGAACGCAGATTCATTTATTTCTTTAATCGGGTCTGAGTAGAATATATTTGTTCCTTTTAATGTAATAAACGTTACCTCATATTTAAAACTGAGGGCATTGCTCATTTTTCATCTCTCCTACTTTCAAAAAATACCTGATGACTCTACAGTATTTATACCTAGATCATATCTAATAAGTTCCAAATTTCCAGTCATTAACAGATAAACAAAAACTTAAAATATTAGTTACTTGTAAATTAGATACTTTATTTTAGAGAAATACTTTGAAATATCTTCTTAAATATGCGTAATATAAACTTCATTTTGCGTTATGAATATATGTAATGTGAACAAAAAGCTGGAATTTTAAATGATTTCTTTGTGTCATATATGTATGCGTTAAACACAAAGTTAAATGCCGCTAATCTAATTCATAACATAAATGATTTCAACATAATTATTTTTACTCTCCACTTTATGGATTAATAAATGACACTTTTATATTTATGATACGTTGAATTCTAAATCTTTAATCTTGAAAATTATTTTCCGAATTAGATATGAGATTTTAATCACCAGTCATTTATTCCAAAATTTAAATGAACGGCGCAGAAAGTGATGAATTATGTGAACTAATTAAGGAATTCAGGTATACTTAATTCCATTAGCTGCTACAAGCTTGCATCCGAATTATCAATCAAACTAGATTTGGAAATTCGATTATCATTTACCTCGACTTTTCTGCCTTCGTTTCCAAAGAAAGACTGAGTGCCCGTTTAATATGTAGATTTACATGCATAAATTTATTCTGTGTAACTTTTTTCAGAAATGAATATATTAATTCATTTTTGATGTAGAAAAATAGCAAACCTTTTTCCGCTTTCTTTCTTGATTCAGAGTTGTTTATCAGAATACAATTATCCTGCGCATAATAAGGAAATAATTTCAGTATTATAATTTAATCATAATAACAAAATTTGTTTGAGAATATGTATCGGTGTTTAAATATAGTAATTAAACACACAGCATATTATATATGTGAAGAAGTTTTTTCCAATTTATAAAAATATACAGTTTTATTCTTGTAGAAATTTGGTGCACCTGACTTTCTGAACAAGATGAAGATCGCAATCTACATATGATTTCGAAAATCCACCTCATATACAGTGCACACTTGTTATATAGGGTGAATTTAATTAAATTTTGGTTAAAAACTCAGTTATTTATAATTCATTGTATTGGTTAAAAACTCAGTTATTTGTCTTAACATTCTGCAATGCGATACTTATTTTCGAATTCTTATTTACTTCTTTATATGATACTTAATTCAAATTTAATGAGAAAGCTCAGCAATATAAAAGAAATGTGATGCCACACGGCTAAACGCAATATACTTGTCTTTCGAATTTAATCAACAAACTCAGCAATTTAAAAGAAATGTGTAGGCAATGCCCGAATTAAAATACTTTTACCTTTCATGCGTCTGTGAGTTGCCGTTTAGCAAAGCGTAAGATATTTAATTTTTCTTTTAAAGTTATTCTGTAATAATTATTAATGAACTTGTAGAGTTCTTCACTTTGTAGATGTTAAGTTACAGTTGAACGTGAAGAATCTTAAGAACTGATAAGCGAATAGTCGCTTGAGTTCGTGTGACAGGAAACGACAAGATGGAAGGGTAAATAACCCTTTATTATTCAAATAAGATTTAACAGAGTTCCGTCTTGGAGTGTACAATAGAAGCCGACACTTGGGCTTGAACTTGAGAGGCTAAGAATTAAACTAAAACTAATCTAAACTAAAAAGAGATATAGCCGAAGCTATCAAGATTCTACCAGAGTTGGCCCCTTAACGTTAATAGACTGCGAAGCTATCATTGACCTAAAGTACGGCCGAGCGTAATAATAGCTTACGAGAGCGTAGCCTAAAAAGGCGGACACTTGCAGACAGGATACCTGGTAACTCTCTCGCTAAGACCGAAGGATTTTGCGGTTTAGTAACGCTCTTCCTCATTATGTATTCAGACGTGATTCTAAAACTACGTTCTGGCCGGGAGTTGTAAGTTGAAGTTAAGAATCGACAGGAAAGGAACTTAAAATTTAACTGTTAATGAAATTAACATAATCCTTGCAAGCTAAGTTACTTTAAAGCAATAAACGCATATATTATTCTTTTGTTATTAATTTAATATTTCGATCATGATGAAATTTGGGACACTTAATTTTGCAAACAACAGTAGCTCACTGTCTGCATAAGATTTCGAAGAACCATACCGGGTCGAAATTCAAGGCGTTTATATTAGAACATAGCGATTACAGAACACATTTTATATATACGTCAGCAATCTTAGGTTCACCTCCCCAACGTTGCGTTTCCAGCCGAAGTCATGCATGCTATGCAAGAAGTGCAGAGATATTCGGTATATTTTTGGAAGCAGGAAACATGAAAAATAGCAATCGCCTTCGCCGAGAATCGAACCACGGGAGCTCTGGAATACCGGCCCAGCATGCAGAACCACTACACCACGAAGGCACATTAGGAAAGTTGAATAAATACCTTATAGAAGTTCATAACTGTTTTTTACAGATATTAATATTAATATTTCGACATTATCTCAATTTTGAAATCACATTCCCATATCAGGATCACATCCCCGTTGTTGCGTTTCCACTATCAATTTTTACAAAAACGTTACATGACGTCGTGTTCGTTTATTCTTTAGAATAATGTAGAACATTCCAGAACAGTGTATAACCATTAAAGCAGTATTTAATTATGCTCTGGTGTGTGTATTGAGAATACAGCAAAGCACACTAGGGCTATCTGTCTAAGGGGAGGGATGCCTTCGTGGAGGACTTTCTAAGGGGAACTGGCTCGTATACACGTTACACATGGAGAAAACCACGAAAACACCCATGCAGCCAGACCGTTCGCTGTATTCGAACCTCGGACCGAACTAACAGTGTTCAGCGATTTTACCGCTCTGCCGCTGGTGGGCTAAATATGCTCTGTATCAGTTGTTTTGCGCATATTTTGAAAACGGGGACAAAATCATTAAAACCTGGTGTTTATTTTCCGAAAGCTCATTTCCAAGGAAAGACATAAGCACGTATCAGTTCAGACTGAAATCATTACGTGGTAAGTTCGCATCATTATGCATAGACTTTTTTTTTTTTTTTTTTTTTCTGTAGCTCAAAATTTCCATACCGATTACAGCAATCGTATTCCTTTTAAGACTGCAAGGAATAATTTTGAGCTAAATTTGAATTTAAGAAAAATATGCGGCTTGATGAAAAACATTAAATACATAATTCTGTTTATTTTCAGAAAAGTGGCCGGATGAAAGGACGAAACGAGTGGTAGTTTCGAGTGCTGATACGAGTGCAACAATAGCCGGGTTACGCCCAGTTACTACGTATCATATCTACGTGAATGCGAAGAATGCTATTGGACAAAGTTTGCCAAGTGCTGATTTAACTGTGATGACTCATGCAGAAGGTATCCAAAATTTTACTTATTTACATATTTTCTGTCTATTGCTATAGCAATGATATCTTGAAAACTTACATTCATCTTCTCTTGGAACCTAAAACTGCAATAAACAAGGAAATTAGATTTTATGTAAAACTATCGAAACCCTACTTTGAAAAATTGAATTTTAAGGTTGAGAATTAACATTATGTTGGTTAATTCATGCTTTACACAGCTTAGTACCACATAGGTCAGATTATAACCTTACTCCCTCTACTGTCAATCTTTTTGTTAAGCAATTCTAATCAACATTCACAATGTACTAACTCACTCAATGTCTACAGATAATATTGCTTCCTTTAAATGAATAAGTCCCCTCCCAAATAAACCACTTTGTCAAATTTATTTAATTACCAACTATATAATTGGTTAGTTAAATATTATACAACTATATATTGGGTCAGTCTTTAATTCGGGCGCATTTTTTGGTAATTTTTTAATAATATTAAAAAACACAATTTAACATTTTTATCAATTATATATTTTCCTCCATTATCTACAATGTCTTGCCATCTTACAGGCAGCTTTTTTATGCTATTTCTGTAGAAAGACTAAGGTTTTAATGCAAAAAAACGTGAATGTTCATTGTGTACATCCTGTTTAAAATTTAATTTTTTTCCCAGTAAAACATTTTGTAAGGCGCGAAATAAGTGAAAATCACTTGGGGCAATATCTGGGAAATAAGCAGGTTGTGGCAAAATCTCCCAATTAAATTCACCAATTTCTTACAGCGATGTTCGAGCCGTATGCGGTGTAGCGTTATCATGATGAAACAACACTTTCTTCACATTATCGTGGGCGTTTTTTGATCAATTCTGACTTTAGATGACAAAGTTGTTCTCTATAAACTTCTGAATTAATCGTTTGATTTGGTTCTAGCAGTTCAAAACGTCCTGAAACGGGGTTCATCATCCATGCTGCTTTTTCCAACTTTAAATGTTTTAAACCATTTCTGGGCAATACTTACACTAATAGTGTGTTCACCATGTACACTTAATTTTTATCACTGCAAACATGGCAGATTCACCACACGAAAATAAAAAATGTAGCACATCACGTTTGTACTGATTATCTTTATTCGTCTTCTATGGGTACTGAAATGCGTTCGATATTTACGAAAGTTGTCGATGAACTGAATAATATGTTAGTCAAACGATGACAAGTTTCAACAGGTTCGAAATTATATTGTTTTAGTAATTGCGTCATAGTGAATTCCACACATACTCAATGCGCACGAACTTATGGACTGACCCGATAATTTTCATATTAATTCTTTCTTCTAATTTCACCAGAACGTAAATTAGGTCAAATTCAAATAATACATAAAGTAAACATTTAGATAGCCTAGTTTGGCAAATCTAAATTTCTTCAGAAATCATCGTAACCATGCATTACTAGCTGCTGTCTGGCTGAATGTTCGTGAGCGATTTGCGTTTCTGTTAAAAGTTATACATCTCTTACTTTGAAGTGAGCACATCAAGGGCTTACTGATCGTTACTCAATTATAATGGTAATGTATGTCGTCCTCATGGCACAGACGGAATCAGGGCGTTTAGCAAATTGAAGCACTCGATTATTTTCCGCAGTTTTCTTATTAGGCAAGGCAGAAGGGAGAAATGTTCTTGGAAGGCCTGTACTAAAGTAACAGACAACAATGCCAAGCGAAGGAAATCGACTGTTTTAAAGATTGTAGATGTTATTTTGATTTTTTTCCTTGAATTTGAATATTTGTGTTAATTTGAAACTTTGCAAACAGGAATATACACTCTTTTAAGCAAAAGGAGTGAGAAAGCATTTAGTTTATACTCTAGAATTGGTAGTGGAGTGACTTTTATTCTTCATATTTGCCGCCCAACCGGGGTAGTGGTTAGTGACTCTGACTGCTGTACCGACGAGTCGGAGTTCAAATTTCGGAGAAGGCATGGATGTTTGTAAGTGTATAGTGTCTGCGTGGCATAGAGATACCCTAAATATATGACGATCCGAGCTCTCGAGAGGTTGTTGGTAAGGGAAGAGATGTGAGAGATATCGTCTCGTCCTCCCTGGGGGTGCTGTCCTTCACAATTGGTGACGGAATTGAGCGAAGTTGTACTCTCACCTGTATTGTGCACAAGACCAGTATTGCCAACGACAATACTGGTCTTGTGCCACCTGTAATGCCAACGACTGACGCAATCTTACCTCCTTGCCAGGATGAATTTGGTGGGCTTGCTCTGATATCAGAAAAGAGAAGAATATTCTTCATTGCTCTGAAAAAGCGGGATTAGTCACAAAACAAAGCATAACAGTATTTAAGTTTAATTAGTGTGCGGTGCCAAGATGAGGCAAGTTAGTTAGATGGCAAGATGATTTTTCGATGACAAGTTAATTTAAGCCTTATAACTTACAAATCATTGCATCTATGCTTAATACCTGTAACAGACAATATGAAACTTTTCAGTTTGTCACGAGCTAACAAAAAAACATTAACACTTTGTAGCTGAATAACTCCTATACCTAACTCAAAAGATAATGATAATATTACAATGATATAATTTTACATTTCCTAACTGATGTATATTTGTTTAGTTCTTTAAGTTCTTATATTTCAAATTCTGTATTTCAGTCCGTGGCTATAATGCACAAATTACCAGCAAATTTATGAAACATTAATTACATGCTAAAAGATGATGCCTTTAATTGTTTTCATTTAATTTTAAAAGTGCATTTTACAATTTGTCAAGAACTTTATAGGAATATTGAAAATATTATTTTCAATTATTTTGGAGCTTTCAGTTGAAATGTACATTGTGTATCTCGCACACATATATATATGTCATATTTTTTGATTATTTTGTTTCCTTTTATCACTAATTTTAACGTCTGAAAATCGAGAAGAGGAAATTATGTGAATAATTTAATTTCCGAATGACGCCGTTACAGTAAGAGAATAAAAAATAAAAAGTAGTCAAGGACCTAACACAATATATTTCTTTTAAAAGAAACATACATTCCAATAAGAATACATTGTAAAATTAAGATTAGACAGTTTCACAAAGTATCTTCATTTCTTCTTACCTATAACTTGAAACTTCTCTTTTTTATTGTTGTCTCTGCTTCTCTTTAAGCTTCAAATTATCCATAAATAATTAGAGAAGATGAATGTGCAACTAACTCAGCGGATTCGTAGTTTGTTTCAATGTAGTGGGTTGGCTCTTGGATTAGACTGGCACAAAGTTGAGCAGTTAGACGGAAAAGGTTTGGCGTGACCATCGCTGGTAGTCCGCAAAATTTTGTTGTCGTTAATTAAACGAAAACAATCATTACGTGGACGAATCTATTAGGAAATTTTGGGGAGCTAGTTCTTTGAACGAATTTGAGAGAAGGGAAAATTAACGGAATATTTCTTTTAAATTTCCAGACTATGGCTGTAGAACAGCTAGAAGAGAAATACTCGAAGAAATACGGTATATATATATATATATATGTAATAATAGCAAGAAATTGACGGAACAGCGTCGATGCGTACTAGCTATATTATACATCGTAGATCCATACTGAAGAGGAATAATTTTGGTTGCTTAGTATGCAAACATGTTGAATTCGCAACATCTAAGAAATTTGGCAGTCGATTCAGATTTAATTCCATTTTTATTTGCAATTGACAACTGTGGCCACAGTTCATGTGGCTTTCCAGCCGTGCTTATTCAAGAAAATTTACATTGTTGATATTACTGCAATAGGAAGCGAGCTCAGCGGAATTGCGTACAAGCACTGTACAAACAAGTGCTAAAGTGCGTAGTTTTCCAATATGGAAGCACACAAAAAGAGAGGTTATGGTTTGAGTTAAAAATTTCAGTTCCCAAATATTACGTCATCAGCGCGGCGCAGGCCATGCGAAATGGAATAATCTGTAAATGACGCAACCCAGAGAATTTATTACGATTTTTAAAACAGAGAGGAAGAATTAAAGGGTTACCGTTAGTTTAAATTATAACTTTAATTTATATATTTTTATCTTATATATATATATACACTGAGGGTAAATTGCGCAGCTGTCATGTATTGTAATTATATATTAAATTATTTATTATAAATAAATTAGTTACATACACATTAGTAATCAAAAGTGCGGAACGTTTCAGAAAATAAGAACTTTAGAAGTCTGGCAACTTTTAACACTAATTTGTTTATTTGCTTATTATTTTATATAAAAAATATACCATTACAAAGCCAAAGTAACTTATAACATTATAAATGTACTTCATGAAATTATATGGTATTTCTCCCGCCTTCTTAACGTGCCTTCGTCGTGTAGTGGTTCTGCACGCTGGACCGGTATTCCAGAGGTCTGTGGTTCGATTCCCGGCGAAGGTGGTTGCTCATTTTTCATCTCTCTGACTTTTCGAAAAAGTACCTAATGTCTCTACAAAGGAGCTCGAAATAAAAGAGTATTGGATGAGGATTCTCCACACCCAGGATTTGGCGATCGGGTCTCCTAAAAACCACAGTCGCCCTTTAAAAGGGGGAGTATGTAAGGTATTTCTCCCGCCTTCCTAGCGTGCCTTCGTGGTGTAGAGGTTCTGCAAGATGAGCCGGTATTCCAGAGGTATGTGGTTTGATTCCCGGCGAGGCGGTTGCTCATTTTGCATTTCTCTCGCTTTTCTAATTTACTTAATATCCCTACAAAATATTTATAAAAATTTCATGAAACTTCAGCGTGCTGAATAGCAAGGAAGTAAATTTCTTAGTTTTTCACCATTTCCAAAATTATGAGTGATTTTGGGAAGGAGGCCTTTTCTGCAATTACAGTCTAATAATAATGCAGCCTTGGAAAAGAATAAATAATTCTAGAGCATAAAGCATTTTAATATGATACTATTATTTGTATACTCGCATTTGTTATTCACACTTTAACTTGTGATAGTTTCAGGCTAACAGGTTCCTTTAATTATTTTATAACAGCCAACTTTTATGGATTTTTATCT